CTGGCCAGCCCACCAACAGGCTCCTCATACCCTTGTCATCCTGGAGGGCCCAAGTTTAATGCCTGGGGCGAGGTCACAGCACTCTCAGAGCCAGTCACCCTCAGCACCATCTGCACGGATTGGAAACACTGTGAACAAGAAGCTCCCATATTTATTAACTCCCAAGAAAACTAACAGAGAAAAAGGATTCAGGACAAAACCAGGCAGTTAAAAATAAATATACAGGCCGGGCGCGGTGGCTCACGCCTGTAATCCCAGCACTTTGGGAGGCCGAGGCGGGCGGATCACAAGGTCAGGAGATCGAGACCACGGTGAAACCCCGTCTCTACTAAAAATACAAAAAATTAGCCGGGCGCGGTGGCGGGCGCCTGTAGTCCCAGCTACTCGGGAGGCTGAGGCAGGAGAATGGCGTGAACCCAGGAGGCGGAGCTTGCAGTGAGCCGAGATCGCGCCACTGCACTCCAGCTTGGGGGACAGAGCGAGACTCCGTCTCAAAAAAAAAAAAAATAAATAAATAAATAAATAAATAAATATACAAATAGCCAATAAATATGAAATTTTTAACTCACTAATAACTTAAGAGATACAAATTAAAACAATGGGATACCATTTCACTTATCTAATTGGGAAAGAATGAGAAAATGTCCAGTGCTAGGAGGAGGAACGAAGAAAGGGATGGGGAGAAAGAGACAGATGAATGAATAGATATGAAACGGCATCTATAAATTGATAAAATAAACTTTCCAGAAGAAAAGTAGAAATATGTACTCAAAGCCTTTAAAAGTACATACCTTTCCCAAGTAATGTCACTTCTAGGAATTTGTTCTAAAGATCAGTAAGAATTTGGCAGTGGTTTAATATAATCAATAACCTTTACATATTTTATATGTGTATATTCTATATATAATCTTTATTTAAAGACTTAAAGATACTATTTACAGCACTGTTTACTATGGAAAAACTTGGGATTAACTTAAGATACTGGTTAGTCATGGTTTAGACAGGAGCAAGAATACAACGCAGTCATTTCTTTGTTTTCTAAAAATATTAATGACATGAAAAACATTTGCAGTACATGATAAGTTGGAGGCAGAAGCTGGCTACACTATGACATGCCTATTTGACCCAAATTCTGTAACACAAAATTGCGTGCATCATACATGCACACAAAAGACCAGAAGGCCAGAGGCAACATTTAACAGTGGCTCACCTTTGGACAGGAGAGCTACCAATGGTGTTTGTCCTCCTTTGTGCTTGGCTGTGGTTTCTAAATTTCCTACGATGACACGGTGGCACTGTGTTTGCTTAGAATCCAAAAAAGCCCCAACATCATTTAATAAGGAAGCACAAATGGGATGAAAACCGTCTCCCTCAGATAATCAACACGACAGACAATCTGTGCCGAACATAACCGTGGCACCAGCATCATGACAAGTGCCAATAAGCTGACCAGAAATACCAATAAGGGGTCGGACAGAGAAAGCTTGGTCTGGCACAGGCATCCAGAATGACTTTGTAGAAGAGGGAGCTGTCTCAGAAGGTCCTCAGGATAGGGCAGATTCTCAGAGAAAGCATTTCAGGTAGGGGAAGCCACAAACTAGGGATACACAGGCCAAAGAAAGCATGGGCTGAGGCCACGAGCAGTGGGCCATCTATGCTCGAGTCCGAAGGAACTCAGGGCTCTAGGCTGAGCACACTGCTGGGAGGGGATAACCTGTGTTTCTCTGGATTTTTCAAGTTTATGCAGACAACATGGGAATGGATGAAATACTAATATAGTTAAAGGCGTTCCTAAGTTCATAGTGGCACCATGGTGCTTGCTGTCTTCTCCTCATATGAAAATTCATCTCCGTTTGCTGCCCCCTATAAAACCCTTCCAATCCCAGCACTGGCTTTTCTGCTACATTCTAAGGTGGCCAAGGACTCTTGCCTTCCCCCACCTGAAACACCCTAAACATCTGCATAGTTCCTCCCTCTCCACTGCAGCTCCTGTGGAAGGAGAGGCAAAAGTCAAAGCTAAGTGGGAAAAAAGGTGATCCCACAAACAGAACTAGGCAATCGCAAGTACATACTGCTGCTGGTGTGGTGAGGAACAGATGAATCTCTAGAATTAAGGTAAAAATGTTTGGAGAAGTATAAGGGGCTGCAAAATGGGGAAGAGCCACCAAGTCAAAATCAAGATCATATGCCCCCTTGCACACACACACACCAGGATCCTGTCCCTAAGCACTGGGAACTGACCATCTGTGGCAAATGGTTAATGGCAAAAATTCTGAGAGAACCTAAGGCAGTTTTCCAACCCAATATCTTAAAATGCCAAAGAATTCTGACCTGCAGTATTTAACTCAAAGTGCTCTTGTATTCAATGCATTTCATCTTGAGAAGTAAGCAGAAAAGGTATCATGCCCATTTTACAGATGACATAACTGATGCTTGGAAAAGGTAAATGACTTGCCCAAAAGCTCACAAATGCAGTAGGTGGCAGAACTGAGGCTGGACTTAGCTCCCCAGACGCCATTTTCCCCACAAACCAAACCATGGTGTTATGGTGCTACATTTAGGCTGTCATAAGGCTTTGCTGTATTTTGACAACAGCGTCTCCCTATAGAGATAGATGCCATAGTAACAAACATTAACCATAAAGTGGGTAAGTGGGAGGCTGTGCACAGAAGGAAGAGCCACAGGGACCCTCTGGACAAGCAGTAAGTTCAGCCCCATCATGGTGGGGAGGGCACAACAGCAAGTCCAGTAAGACCCAGGTCAGTGTGGCCCTTCCAAGTTCAACCAAAACTCTAGCTCTGCCACTCACCTCCAGACAAGCATCTGCTGCATCTGAACTTGAATCCATGCTTGGGGTGTGAGGCAGCACCCCTTCTTTGCCAAGTGTAGCCAGCAGAGACAGGCAGGCTGACATCCCAGGGAAGGCAGAGGCAGCCTCTATAATGCCAGCAGCCCAGGACTGCAGGATGAGGCCTGGTGAGGGCCTGTCCTCCAGACCTACCCTGGGCCTTGTTGAGGCCTCTGATTCTCTGGAGCTGTGTGTGTGAGGAGGCAGCCACCCTCTGCAGAGGGCCAATGAGCACAGAACTGAATCTTTAACGTTCATGTTAACCAATCAGTCCTGCCTGGTTAAACAGCTGCTGTGAAGGGCAGTGGGAAGGATCCTAGGATGAAAGGGCAAAACTGTTCTGCACCTTGATTGAGTTGGTGGTCACACAACCGCACAGACCTAGGCATACACGAATGAGTGTGTAACGCTGCTGACACCCGATAAGGTCTAGGATAGGACAGTGTGCTAGTCACACGAGATGTCACCATCAGGGAGGCTGAGCAAAGGCTGAGAGGCTGAGAATATAGACCTCTCTCACAGTTACTTGTGAATGTACAATAACCTCAAAATAAAAAGTTAAATAAGATAACATACCACACGTGCTTATTGGCTACTGTACTAGATAGTGCAGCTCCAGACAGCCGAGTTCCCACTGAGCTCAAGAAACCTCCCACCCATGCTTGTGGGCTCTTCCCTTCACCTAACCCACAGCTGGCACACTTGATTTGGGGGAGTTGGGGGCACTCCTGTGCTCCAGAGAAGATGGGTGTGGGGCCGAGGTCATGGGGCAAGGGTAAGGACAGGATCTTATGATAAATGAGGGATTCGTTAAAAGACCGTGTACCCCTAAGTAGAGAAGGATCCTGCAAATCACTGTAGCAGGCTGGAGAGGCGGCCACGCTATTGCTGGGACAACCCCCTCAATCCTCTGCAGACACCCTGGAAATCCTACACCAAACGTCAGAGCAGCACAGGGAGAGAAGGCTGTTAGACTTGCTTCCCCAGAGACCGGGGAGGGAACACCCACCCTGCGCCCAAGATAGGCACAGAGTTGGGGGTGCGGGCTCCCACTCCGCCGTTAGGAGCCTTTCCTACAACTCTGAAAACCGGGGTGCGAAGAAAGGGCGAAAGGGCCGCTCAACTCCCAGAGAGTAGCCAGCGAAAGACTCGAGGGACCCCCTCCCGCAGGACCCCGAACCACTGCAGCTCCTCCTCAGTCCGCGGGGTCCACCAAGGAGACCCTCACAAACAGCATCTGTGGCGAAGGAACCGCCCCCGCAAAGGGCAGAAGCGCCAGATCCTATCAGCCAATTACCCAGACGCGCACCGCGACCCGCAAGTTCAGGCACGCTCCGCCCGGGCGCAGGCAGCGGGAGGGGCCGGGCACGCCCGTGGGGGTGGTCTGGGTCTGGGTCTGATCCGGGGGCGCGCTCGGGAGGGGTCTGGGTCTGAGCCGGGGGCGCGCCCGGGGGAGTGGGCTGGGTCTGGGGCGGGGGCACGTCCGGAGGTTGGGGAGTCTGGGGTGGGGGCGGGGTGGGGTGTCTGGCCCGGGGACGCGCCCGGGGAGGCGTGGTCTGGGTCTGGGCAGGGGGAGAGCCCGGTGCGTGCTCTGGGTCTGCGCCGGGGAGCGCGCCTGGTGCCTGGATGTTCGGTACCGAGCGGGCGGGGGACGCCCGGCTCGGAGCCCGCGGCAAGTCTCCTCCTGGCCGGTAACAAGCCTCCTTTGCAGCCTGGAAGGCGCCTTGGCCAGGGCCATCCCACGGTCCGGGCCCCCAGAGCCCCTCCACGGCCCCGAATCCGAGCAGCCCCTGGCCCTCAATTCGCCCCGGAAAGGCCGCCCTCCCCTCCAATGTGTGGCGCGCCCCGATCGCCTCTCGCTCGTGGAACAAAAGAGCAGCTCCCGCGGAGCGGGTCCAGAGTCTGCACGGACTGTCCGATGGCCCTCGGCCCTCTGAGCGCCGCGGCTGCCGGGCTTTGTGTCCGCGCGGGGGGCGGGAAGGACGGCCGGGGTCCCCAGTGCGCGTCCCGCGGAGCGGCGCGCGGCGCCCGAACTCGAAAGTTGTCGCCGGCGCCTGTCGCCTCCACGCCGCCCCAGTCCCCCTCCGCGGGGCGCCCCATTCATTAGCCGGGAGACTGGGCGCAGGGCCGCCGGGGCGGGCGGGGGGCTTACCTTGCTCTTGACTTCCACCGCGCTGCAGTCGTAGAATCGCAAGGTCTGAGACTTGTGAAAACTCCGGTTCATGGTTTCGGCCCCGGTCAGCCTCGCCGTCGCCGTCGCCCTCGCTCCTCAGGGGCCGCAGAAAGACTCCCGGGGGCGGCGCCCCCAGGCCCCGGCCCCAGCCCCGGCCCGGCCCGCGCTCGCTTGGCCGCCGGGCTGCTACCGGTGCTGCGGGCCCGAGCTGGGCTGGCCGCGCGCCTCAGGGACTCCAGGGGCCGCGCGCGGGAGGAGCGCGGGGGACGCCGGCGCGCGCCGCCCCACCTCCCCGCGCCCGCGCCCGCGCCCCGCCCCCGAGCCCCGGAGGACCCGCCCATGTCCCCGCCCCGCGCTTCGGAGGACCAGCCACGCCCCGCCCCGCCCCCACGCTGCAGCTCCGCGGCGGATCGCCAGTGGGTGCGCGCTGTGTCTTCTCCACAATCCCAGAGCCTGGGGAAAGGAGCGTCGCAGCCAGCCAGGGCGTCTCGTTTTGATGGCCTCCACGGAGCAACCTAGGATAGGGGCTGATTTTTGCCGTTGTTTTGGGTGATATTCAAGAGAAGGATACTAAGAGAACCGCTAGAGACCTGATCCCAAAAGGCATCACCTGTCACTACTAATTGTCAAGTTGTTGATGGCCTGGGAGAAGGGTTTTATCAAATAGGCTTAGAGCAGCCTGGCTAATACTGTGAAACCCCATCTCTACTAAAAATACAAAATTAGCCGGGTGTGGTGGTGGGCGCCTGTAATCCCAGCTACTGGGGAGGCTGAGACAGGAGAATCGCTTGAACTCGGGAGGCGGCGGCTGCAGTGAGCCGAGATCGCGTCACTGCACTCCAACCTGGGAGACAGAGCGAGACTCCGTCTCAAAAAATAAAAAGTAAAAATAAAGGCTTAGAGGGCTTTATCAGATAGCTTGTCCCTAGGGAGAGGATCAGAAGCACCTGTAGACCTGCCTGATACGAAAGGAGACCTTTTTCTAAGGCAGCTGGAAAAAGAGAACCTGTTAAGACAAAGAATTGCTAGCGGCATCAATGAATACCTACCAATCAAGAGGCCTCTGAAACAGGGGCTTGCTGACACCAAAGAAACAGTCCTTGCCCTTGAGGAATTTGTGATGAAGTTCAGAAGACAAGACAGTTTTAAAAAAATCATTGTAAAGTATACTATGAATTGTTGTAATTTATAAGCTATATAATTATAAATCTCACCGTACATTCATTGCAAAAGAAACCTGCAGAATGCAAAGTGAAAAAACCTGTAAAAATTACCTGTAGTCATGCTACTCAGCAATCAACTGTATTAACCTTTGGTGTATTTTATTTTCACTTATTTTTCTGCACATATATTTGTATATTTTACAAAATTGTAACTATGCTGTTTATCTAGTTTTACAACTTGCTCCTTTCGCCTTATGCTATATAATGAACTTTGTTTCCCTCTAAAAACAGGATCTTGCTATGTCACCCATGCTGGAGTGTGCAATGCCACAATCACAGCTCACTGCAGCCTCAAACTCCTTGGCTCAAGCAACCCTTCCACCTCAGCCTCTTGAGTAGCTGGGACCACAGGTTTGTGCCACCACACAGACTAATTTTATTTTTATTTTTGTTTTTGTAAAGACGAGGGTCTCTCTCTGTGGTCCAGGCTTGTCTCAAACTCCTGGCCTCAAGCAATTCTTCCCCCTCTGCCTCCCAGATGTTAGTCACTACACTTGGCCAGAACAGTTTTATTAAATGTTCTTAGAGAAGATGTTTTCTAAAAGGTGCTTATATGAATATAGGCATAATTTATAATCATTTCATTATTGTTGGGTATTTAAGATGTTTCCAATGTTTGGCTTTTATATCATACTGTGTTTTTAAAATTTGCTTATATTTGATGTTTTAAATTGACTTCTAAAATTACAACTACTAGGCCACAAAGTACACACCTCTAAAGCCTTGAATACAAATTACTTCCATAGAAATCTGATTTTCCTTTAGTTTTGCTAAGTTTTACCCTGTTGCATGCTGGGACTTAGTGCCAGGGAGAACCATTACAAAGGCACTGAGTTATAATTACTGCCCTTTAGAGAAATGCTAGGCTGACCAGAGGACCGGATATGTAAACAGAGTTCCAAAACAAGGCACGTGTGCAGTAAATAAGCAAGCAAAAAAAAATGCCAAGAGACACACACTTGGCAAGCAGACTGTGGACAGAGGTGCTGACATTCTTTCAAGGGAAATTTCCTAAACTGAATGCAAATCTTTGGACTTGGGAAAAGTCACAGGCTCAGTGCTGACTGCAAGTTGCCCACTACAGTGGGCAACATTGTTTTGTGTTTAGAAGAGGCTCAGTAATATCCTGAGGGAGAAACTCCAACTGACACATTTTAAGAAATGGAGGGACAAAGGACTATGTGGAGAAATGAACAGCATTATAGGCAATGAAGGTGGGGGTGGGGTCCACCCAGCAAGCTCGGGGCTTTGGAGTGGGAAGACACCTTTTAAAGGAAAGGCTGGAAGGCTACCGAATTTCAAGTAGCCCTAGACTTGGCTTCTGGACCGGGTTGATGACAGTGAGATCATTTCGTCAATGCCTCTGGCTCAGAGTGTGGTGTAAGGCCCAAAATCTGCAACACCTGGCACTTGTTAGCAACACCCCACCCCAGACCCACTGAATCAGAATCTGCGCTTCAACAAGATCCCCAGGTGATTCATGTCCACACTGAAGTGTGAGAGGTGCTGCTTTTTTATCTTAATCATCTGTTGCTCCACAGTTCTTGATCGGCACGATCTTCAGGCAAAAGCAGGAGAAAAGGGTGGGAAAGCTTGCGGTTGCATGTGGAGCCTGAGTTTCCAGCTGAGACTTGAACTGGATTCGCTAGGGCTTTGAGCTCTTAGTTGAGTCGGGTATAGACAAAAAAAAAAAAAATTATCTGAGCCTGCAGCTGGAAAGGCTTTTACACAGCAGCAAGATTGGAAAAAACAAAAGCCCTCTCCTACCAGACACAGTGGCTCACACCTGTAATCCCAACACATTGGGAGGCTGAGGCTGGAGGATTGCCTGAGGCCAGGAGTTTGAGACTAGCCCAGGCAACTGGTGAAACCCTGTCTCTCCAAAAAATGAAAAAATTAACTGGCCAACGTGGGAGAATCACTTGAGCCCAGGAGGTTGAGGCTGCAGTGGGCAATGATTGTGCTACTGCACTCCAGCCTGGGTGACAGAGAGAGACTTCATCTACACAAAAAGAAGGAAGGGAGGGAGGAAAAGGAAAAGAAGAAAGAGAGAGAAAGAAAACAAAAGGAGAGAGAGAGAGAAAGAGAAAAGACTCCACAGATCCTGGCCTGATAGCCTGCCTTTTCACACAACCAGGGGGTCATGGGAGCCTCTAAGGAGCTGACTGTTTTCGGACGGAAAATGAGAGAGAAAATAGGAATGGGTAGGGGGTTAAATCTTCCTCAAATCACGGCTTCTAAGAACCCATCTAATAACTGAGCCATCAGGAGCAAAAAGGAAGTATGTTGTGGACCCAGTAAAATGTACTCCTTGACCGGGTGCAGTGGCTCACGCCTGTAATCCTAGCACTTTGGAAGGCCGAGAGGGGGAGATTGTTTGAGCCCAGGAGTTGGAGACTGGGGAGGCCGAGGTGGGAGGATTACTTGAGACTGGAAGGTCGAGTGTGTGGTGAACTGTGATTATGCCGCTGCACCCCAGAGCATAGCAGAGCGAGACCCTGTTGAAGAAAAAAATGAGGGCAGGCTCTTTTATGATTGAACATTTGTTACTGATACATATGTCCTAAGAAAACATTCTGTAAGATAATTCTGTTGGGTAATAGGAAAGCATCACTGTAACATTCGAACCAGCAGGCTGTTGCATTTGCAATGCATTCTAATATATTTTCGGATGAGGCAGGAGAAGAACTGATATTTGATTGAAATAAGGAAATGGCAGAGTAGTTATGCCTCATCATCACCTGATTCTCATTAAAGGCATCCCTTCCTTTTACCCTTTACTCTTCCCCTGCTCAAAGAGGCCTCTTCTGCCTTTTTTTCTCTTTCATTTTTTGAGATGGAGTTTCATTCTTATTGCCCAGGCTGGGGTGCAATGGTGCGATCTTGGCCCACTGCAACCTTCGCCTTCTGAGTTCAAGCGATTCTCCTGCCTCAGCCTCCCAAATAGCTAGGACTATAGGCATGCACCACCATGCCTGGCTAATTTTGTATTTTTAGTAGAGACAGGGTTTCACCATGTTGTCCAGGCTGATCTCAAACCCCTGACCTCAGGTGATCCACTCACCTCGGCCTCCCAAAGTGCTGGGATTACAGGTGTGAGCCACCGTGCCTGGTCTCTTCTGCCTCTTTGATGCAGTAATATCTTGACTCTCAATGGAAGCTTCATGCCTAAACTGACTTTCCAGTAGCTCTTTCAGCAGATGGCACTGTGAGGCAGAACAGAATGAATTCCCTGCATTCCAGAGCCATATGGATGTCATTGCTCGCATCTACCCACATGCTACAAAGTGACCCTGGTTGCGTCCCCTAGATTGGTACAAAGGGCTCCCTCCTCAACCAGCTTGCAGTGTGACCTGCATGTCCATCCCCAAGTGGAAGACAAAAGGCAGGAAACCTTACCCAGCTATCTCTGACTTTGCATTAAAACTCTGGGATACTTTTTCAAAATACAAATAAAAGCACCTAGAACGTGAAGCACAGTCTTTGTTCCAACTATTACACTAAGCATGGATTAGAGTCTCAGGATCTGTTTTAAAAAGAGTCAATCCATAAAGCTTTTCACTGACTTGGTGAATATATCAGAATGTGATTTTATGGCAGAAAAGTGTGGTCAGTTTTCAGCCACACAGCATCCATTCATCAGCATGATTCATCTCCTAGTGCACACTCCCAAAGCATTTCAGAGGTTCGAAGTAGTTGCAGGCCCTGCTGGATTTCCTACGAGAAGAAACTGCATGCTTTTCCTCTTGTTTATTTCAACATGGTTTCTTGGTGGCCCAGTTTATGTTCATCTCCAAGATAATGTCTCTGATTCATCAAATTCTGCCATGGTGCTGGCCTGTGCTGGGCCCTGGCAATACAAACATTAAGGAAGTACTCATGTCTTCTAGCCTTGGGGTCCTAGCCAAAGCAAGAATCCCGAAGCCCGGCGTGAAGAGTTCATTCACTCTAAAAGGATATGCATCAACTCCTTATTCTTAGATCTGCGGGGAAATTGTCCCAGAATATGCTGCTTGATCACTCAAGTTGTAAACCCA